TTATTAAAGGCGACTCGACCCCGCGCTATCCTCTGCTTTATATCCCTATTTTCATACAGTACTGATCTGTCAGTACCGCTTCCATTTTATTTAAAGCTATCTCTAGGTCCTCCTTGCTAGATGTAATACTGCTATATCATCTGCAAATCTAAGCATACTAATCTACTAATAATACTAATCCCTACAGTTGTACTGTCTTTAATGATGTTGATCGCGTCTTCGATGTATAGATTAAAAAGTAGCGGTGACAGTGTGGATCCCTGTCTGACTTCCTTCCTAATATTAATTCTCTACGTTGCAGCCCTAATATGGTCAAATTTTTTTCGCTTCCGTTTATTTTTCCAAGTGCTTAAGAAACCGTAAACAATCAACAACAACAAGGAATTGGAATTAATAGGTAATAATACTCACTCTTAAATAAATATTAATTGTTGTTAAATAAACATTCACTGAAATATATGTACAGATATAACAAAAAAATTAATTTAGCACTACAGTATAGTGAATATACATTATACTATGATATACCGGTCATCAACAGCTGATTGTAATACCGATATACGCATGAGCCCCTTTCTATTCTTGTAGCCTATCGCTTACCGAGACAAAACGTTGTAAAACGTGTCGTTTCATGACCTTGAGATTTTACTCTCATCGAGCCCAAAGAAGTTTCACTTCAAAAATATCAATATTGGTCCAGCCGTTCTCGAGTTTTGCGATTCATTTTTATATTTATAAAGATTATTACAACAAAATTTCCATATTATTCTTAATTGTCATTTTTTACAGAATCATCTTTCGTTGATATTTTTTAGGGAGAACAGAACTTGTTTATCCATAAAAAAAAATAATGTTTCGCCACTTTAGAAATTCGTAAAATACTTCTGCTGTATTAAAATCTACGAAATTTGAAAATAACACTACTCTTTAACCTGATTATCCTCAATTGCTAGATATTGTGGGTAGTAATTGAGTGGCGTGAATTATCTATTTAATTATAAATGTAGTACGTTTGTGTAATGAAATTTGGTTAAAATAAATCACACACCTAAGAAGTGACTGACGTGAAATTAATTTTTCATTGCACTGCATCGATATTTTATACATTTTTTATGCATGTTTTTGATCTGAAGTATTGTACTGTCCAGGCCTACCAAAAATAATAAACGCTTTTGAGGCGGATACATAACTAAAGTTTACTATATACAATAACAGCATACAAACAACGGGGCACACAAAAAAGGCAATTTCAATGTGCTACGTATTAAAAGATCTCATATTTGCAAAAAAAAAATTCATTATGCAATATGCACGCTTGCTTTACATGGACCGCAACCTTTAAATAATCCTAAGTCAGCAGTGCTTTTAATACTTTAATTCGACCTTGCACAGGCCACCAGTTGAATTTAAATAAGAAAAATGAATAATTTTGCAACAAAACATTTATTGAGATATTAAGAAGACTATGGTATTGGATTCTTTACGCTACTGGGATCAGTCAAATGGGAGGAGCCTAAAAACGTGGCGCCGATTAGGGAAAATTTATCGTAGTTCCTATAATGTACCGTGCAATTTCCAAGTTTTTAAATTACGATAAAATGATAAGTATTGACACAATATGTGATTGGGCTGACACAAAGCCTCGGAAAGGAAATTTCGTTGAAGGTGAGCGTGTTTTTAATGCCAATCACATTATAAAATTCGGAAATAACAAATCCGGAAGCTAGCCTTCA